TTTCCCTTTATTTTTAAAGTTTCCAGTGTGTTTATGTGTATATATATATGGCGTAAAGGAGCTTGTATTTTCGCTTTACACAAGCTTAAAGTAGGGTTTACACAAGCTTTACGCAAAACGTAAAGGTGTTGCGTAAAGTTTTTGTTTCATTACGCCAGCTTTATATGTACGCGTAAAGGTGCTGTAAAGCTGAACTTTACGTAGAGTAAAGGAAGCGTAAAGTTGTGTAAAATTCAACTATACGCTGACTTTACGTTGTCATTACGCTCACGTAAATTTGATGTTGGACTTGCATCTATAACATAATGAAAGAGAGAAGATATCAGAAGATAGTATTTTTTAAAAAAATATTTATTACATGTCAAAAATTATGGTCGGGTTGAAATGAATCAACTGTGGTTGATTCTAGTTCTTTGTCTTCAAGTCCTAATTCATTTACAAGTGTAAAGAAATGAAGAAGAAATGAAATTTATCAGAGATAGAAAAATTAACTACAGTACATCATGTCTATGTTATATACATGTATGTTGTAGTTGATTCCCTTGTAGAACAGGGAAGGTGGTAAATTTCATCATAGTTCATGAAACAATAAAATTAAAAAATGATAGAATATAATTTTTCTTTTTTCAAAAAGAGATCTGTAGACTTAAAACAAAGGATAGAGGGCAATTGTGGTATTGACAAGAGTGTTTGTGGAAAATAATTATTTTCTGTCATTGCCTCTTGTTCATGTAATAATTACAATTTTCATTTACAGGTCTGTCGATGGTGCAAGAAGTGATCTGTATTATTGTGAACTTAATAGCCAGACACGTTTTGGTAGTTATACTTCATTTCCATGTACCCTGATAAATACATTTAATTGATTACCATACATTTTCTTACAAAAACCCTTAGTTAATGCAGTCACACATGAATGTGGCTCACCACCACATTTTAAAATCATAAGCGGTAAACTTTTTTTTACAAATTTCACCCCATTAACACGACCATTTGTTTGAAATTTACAAAATTGAAATGCCTGTGACATTCATTTCAATGTCATTGACGGAGTAAGCTGAACCTGTTCTTGTGTTCTTTTTAGACGACAGTACAGGCCTTGATTCGTGAAATTTGACCCTGCTCCGGAAATTGACGGGCATTTTTTTTCAGGGGGGGGGGGGCACACTGGAGACTGCATTAACAGTGTTGCACTGTAATGTACATATGTGAACAATGTCCAAAAGAGCAAGACCAAACTACGTAGTTAGGATAGCATTTTTACTTCTTTCTTAAACTTAAACTTCTATATTATGATGTCGGTTGACACTTGAGACCAAGTGGAACAGTAATTGCCTGATATTTGGACCAGACAATTTAAAAGACATAACAAAATTGGTGGATACTGCTATTCATCTACATAAATCAGTTTACTAGCAAATCTTTTATTATAATTGTGTATATAGTCATATCTTGTGGTTGCAGTTCAATAGTTAAGCTTAACTTAGATTATTAGTTCAATTATTGTTGAGTAAACTTAAGCTTATAAGCTCATAAGTACATAAAGGCTATAATAAATCTATTTTTTACCTACCTCTTTTAGCATATTATTTCTTTTAAAGCAACCTCTCAAACGCGGGACGAGATAAATAAAGTCCATAAAGGTCAGGAAAAAGAGAGTTGTTGAAACTCATAATTAGATGTACCGGTACACGTCTTTTCCAATATGGCGGGGGAGCTTGGGGAGGGTAACCCTTGGGGAGAGTCGAGCGATCCCTGGGGACGAGAAGCGACGAGATAATAACATTTCCGTTTCTTTTTCCTTTGAAAAATATACCTTTTCCGTGCTTTGAAGATGTTATCTACCTACCCTCTGCCCCTATTTTGACTATCCAACGATCGAGTCCGATTTCTCGGTAAATCGGACTCGATTAAGTTACCCTCTGACCGGATAAGAAATCGGGCCCGATTTAAAACAAGTCGGACCCGATTAATTTAAAACGAGTCCGATTACTTTATCGGGCCCGATTTAACAACAATTCGAGCCCGATTAGTTTTGGAATCCGATCTGAAACAAATCGGACCCGACTAGAAATCGGACCCGATTTGTTATCGTGCTCGATTAAACGAAATCGGGTCCGAGTTGATATTCGGGTCCGACTGAAAAACATCGAACTCGATTACCCAGAAACCGGTAAACATCCGTTAAATCTATAACGAACGCAGTTATCGAGACCTAAAGTGCCTTAAGAAGATCCTTGGAGATGCAAAATCTCTCCAACCGGGCCGTCGAAATCGCCTCGCCATGAGATGGATCAAGGAAGGACTTTCTGTTTTGATTTGATAATTTCTGCGACAATCTTTGCCAGACGAAAATCTGCAGGCGGTAACATGATTGGCTCAAACCAACAAAGAAAATCGCGGGCGTCCAGCCGCTCTTTCGGGGGATGAGTGTGGGCTCATTTTCCCGAAAGCGGCTGGTAATCGAGCCTAGCAAAACAATAGCCCGCGAGATCTCAGCAAAGTGGTCTTGCGTTTGACCACGTGATTCATGCACTGTGACGTAGAAAGATCAACCAAAAGATTCGCATTTGCGAAAAGTTTGTGAGTTAAGAGCCTTTTATAAGACGTTTAAGATGTCATGTCCGTCGGATTTCTCTTCCTGCACATCTGAAAGTGATGTAGAAAGTTTTACAGTTGACGAAGTGATTGGGGAATTGTCTGAATTTGCGCCGTACGACGACAGTTGCGAACCTCTTGCCACCGAGGAAGAAGCCGCGGACTACAACGAAAGAGTTCATCGCGACGAAGAAGAGGAACAACAGTTTCAACGAAGAAATTTGGGAGAGGTGCCAGCGAATGAATGGTATGGTATTATCATGGAATGTAGATTTATATTTGTATTTTCCAATTTCGACATACCCGTTGTTAAATCGTGCGCGTGACGAACGATCACGACTATGTGTTTTGCTTAAGTTTACATTTCGTTGCTATGTGATTAGCTCTCGTCCTGATTTTATGCGATAGTTTTATTAAAGCGGTCAGATAATTAATAATTTTATACAGACATATTTTTCTTGTGTTTGACGAATTTTTCACATTATTTTGCAGGTGTTCGTGCTCGAACTGCTCTGTCAGCCTTGTTACAAAAGCGCAGGAGTGCATTTGCTGCAAGGAGATCGATCGCTGCGAAGAGGTCATAGAAGAAGCCATTGGAGACCGGACCGTATGTATAACCCTCCATCCAGGGTTTGAAAGCGTCTGCTTAAACCGCCACCATTAGAAGTAGCTGCATTGGGCCTAAAAACGCGAGCTGGAAAGTCGTACACAACTGTTCGTGGGCAAAGCAACAAAAGTGATGAGGAGTAAGTTGGGGTATTATTGACTTTGTATCGGAACGATCGAACCTTAGATAGCATTGAATAATTGATACATCTAAGCTTATCGCCGTGGACTGATCTCATAGAATCACAATTTTTATTTTCTAAATGGCTTTATTGCCCCGACTGCTTATTTTTAAAAGGAGTATTTATTTATCTCCATCCAATCCCTCCTTGAATTAACAGTGATCTATTTCTCTAACTAGATTCCTGAGGTCTGTGGCCTATCGCCAATTCACAAGACTGCTGTGGAATTATATTAGTAGTTCCAGGCGACACCCCTTGCCCTGTTGTGCCTACAATAAAATCAGGAAACAATTTCCGAGTCAAAATGGCCATTATCGGGGATTCGAAGATGAAGAAAATCTATAATAAATGCACTTTTTGTTCTTGAAGATTGTCATGTATGCCATTGGGGCCAAGAAGGACGTACAGTAGTTGCTTGAATACTTGTCCGTAAGCACTTAATTTTATGGGCCAAACTTCAGAATTCTTAGCCACTTACTCGCTTTTTGTTGAATGACAAAATTACCCACTGTGTGAAGTCCTGTTCTTCTAGCGTTCAGTTAAACTCAAGTTTAGTGGCTGGGGATTCTGATGTTGCTCCAATTTTCATGTACAGAAGTAAAAAAAATTAAATCGAATTCAGCCAGAATTTAATTACAGTTTTAATGTATCGTTTCCTTCTTCTCACTCGGCTTAAATTTCCAAAATTCGATCATTCGTCGTCAGCCATGTCATATTGCCCTCTTTTGTGCCCAAGTCTTCTTTTGCCACATTTAGAGCAGCGAGGAGGTCGTCTGCCACTGTTTGATGTCTGCCGAGTTTGTCTCCCTGAATCATCTGATGTCACCTGAATTTCATCCTCTAAAATTTAAACCATACATACACTGGGAGTAAAGTAGGATATACCAAGGCCACACATTTTAGATAATTACTCAAGGGTCGAATGCCATTTAATAACTCATTTTCTTACCTGGGCAGGTTGGAGGGCAAAGAACCGTTGTTTTCTCTTTTCTTGTCTGGTATTTTGATATGGCGTCTTCTCTGCTTTCTCTGTCCAACATGATGTTTATAGGGTCTGGAACCTTCTCTTTAATTTCAGCTCTGCCCTGGGTGTCTTGGTTAGAATGTCGTAGATGTCAGCAACATAATCTGGATAAGAACCAAATACCGTAAAATTCCGAAAATAAGCCCCTCCATGTATAAGCCCCTCCAAATATAAGCCCCCCGAACTCGTAAAGCAAAAAGCCCTCCGTTAAATCGTCCCTCCGAATATAAGCCCCCCCCCCCCCGGGGGGGGGCTTGTACTTGGAAGTTGCCCTCAAATACAAAGCAAAACAAAGCAAAAACGGTAAATTTCTTTCCAACTATAAGGCTAGCCCAATCGATTTTGACACGCAAATTTCCCTCCGTAGATAAGCCTCTCCGAATATAAGCCCCTCCAAAAATAAGCCCCTCAAAAAGGGCCTTTGAAAAATATAAGCCCCGGGGCTTATTTTCGGAATTTTACGGTACCTCACTTAAGATGTTTTATATATCTCGGAACAGTATCGACTTTTTACATTTTTATTAGTCAGATGGAACGATCTGAAAACACATTCCATAACACACGGCTATGGTGCACTTTTTAAAGAATTTTCATAGTACTTTTTTGCTATTACCATAGTTTGCTGAAACTTTTGCTTCTCTCACTGAGGCCTCTCCATCCTTAAACTTGGGGTATGTCACTTGTATAATTGGATTTCCAACTTCATCTACTTTTGTTTCCCTTTTTAAGTTGTAATTAAAGTGTAGGGCAGCCAATATTGTTCTGTGAGAATACAATAACAACTTAAACACGGAGTGTAGCTCCTGACTGGAATGTAAGAAAATTAGAGCAAATAAAATAGGTTAAGTTGTTCAAAGATAACAATCCTTGTTGTTATTATTTACTATTATTTTGACAATACTCATCAAGAAACCCATACCCGCAAAACATACCCAGGTATGAGAATGCGTACATCTTTGGGGCAAACTGATTTATCACAGAGTGGTATCTCTCAAGAGCACTGGTATGTTCCACAGAGGATGCCTTCTTAATTGCTTTTGTAAGACTGTTTTTGCTGAGTGCGGCACTTAGTTTTTCGTATGCTTCTGATGCTGAAAGAGAATCAGAAATTGGTCTAATGAAAGTATCCACATGCCATGATACTCTTCCAAAGCTAGCTTTTGTTCTTTCAGTTTTGGTTAATAGTGTATAAGATGTAACTGAAAAGTGACCACCATTCACTAAAACACACAATCCACTGAAGTAATAGGGAAATTGTGTTTTCATGATATCATATTAGTTGGTGATACAACATATATAATGTGGACACATGCTTTGCTATCAAAAATGACATAATTTTAAAGTAAAGAAAGGAGATGTTTGTCATACCTTTTGTCATCCACACCCGGGGACTGGTTATGTCACCATGAGCAGATGCATTAAAAAGTCTGTTTGGGAGTTCCTTATGCTTGTTTATCACATGAGAGAGAAAATCTTCAAACTTTGCAAGCTTTACTTCTCCAAGATGTTCTTTGGTTGAGGTAACAGCCAAGTAGAAATGTCTTACACAAGCTTTTTGCCACCTCCCAATAATCTCACAGCCCTTCTCTTTGCTGGGTTTGGTCAGTACCTTCTGGATCTCTAGGAATGAACAGATGTATAATCAACATATAAATGACTAAAATGGTCAGTACATGTAAGAAATTAAAAATGCTAAAGGAGGAGAATTATTTTGTTAAGGGGCATGTGCTGTATCTGTAGCACATAATTATATTGAGTCTTGTACATGTACACTATGTTATCTGCATCAATATACTTATTGTAGTAAGTGTTAGCATTTACAGATACTGCAAGAGAGGCTCCTTACTTTTACCAATGTGCCATATGTCAAAGAAATGAGCTACAATTGACTTTCCCATATCTCGGCATTTTTTTGGACAGTCTTCCCTCATCCACTTGGCAATTGAGGTGTGTCTGTCAGAGGTGAATGACTTTATCAACAGGCCAGTCCCCAAGAGGAAGGTAAATGCTTTTTCAAAGGCAAAGAATTCCATCCTAGAGCTGTTTCCTGCTTCATTGGCCTTAAGAGTGAAGAGATAAATCGATACACTTGTGAATAACCTGACAATAATGCTGTTTAAGTTCATGGCTTTGCACATTATGGCCTCAGGTTCATATGATTACATTGTTTAGATCAATCATCAGATGCAAATAGGGAGGCAAAAGTATTAAAGTACTGCTAGAGCATAGTTACCACCTTTTAGAAGAACATGTTAAGCAAATCCGGCTCTTTATTAATACACAAGTATTTTGGCAGAGATAAACTAACTATAGGGATGGTGAAATAGTTATTAGCAGGGTTTTTTAGACAGTCTGATTCAAAATCATACCTGCAAAAGGACAATGTGGATGGTAAGCCCAACTGTGCAGGAAAAGATCGTATAGGTACCAAACTTCGCAGAATGTCCCAAACTGACATGGCGACCATCACCAGCCACCACCACTTCCTTGTTCTTCAGTGTCTCCAGTATCCTCTTCTGGTATTTTCGCCGGAAGGAGACAATGGAGGGGATCAGAAGGTGCCTTTAGTGGTAATAGTATGTTGGCTCATGGTACGCCAATATACCCATGTGCCTAAATACCAGTAGTACCTCTCGGATGGATGCCCCAGCACAGAGCACTGCAAAACTTAATAGCAGGTTACCTGCTGGAAACTTTCCTAGCAGGACTGGTTGACTCTTCCAGACTTTTGTCTGGCCACAGTTACTGCAGAAACTTTCCACGGCTAACAAGGTACCCGTCTGTGATACAGAAAGTTTGGGTTTTGAAAAGAAGCACAAGTGGCAGAACTGAAACAAAAGAAGAAGTTTGGAAAGGAAAACAATTCCCTTCGGTTCCTCTCGGATGTTTTTTCCTTGTAGATCCAACCTGTAAAAACTGATTGAAAGAAAATACTCATTTAATCATAGCATCTGAAATAATAAAATAACAATAAAAAAATGATTATCATTTTTATTGTTTTTCTCAGGGTGTTGCCAGTTTTTCAACTTGTTGTAAACCTGGCTAATTGTGGGTTGGGATTTTATTCTCACATACATCCTAAAAAATGTTATTTTATAATAATTCTGTTGATTGCACACATGACAACTTTGAGCCCTTAAGCTATCTAGTTCACCCCAACGATGCATAATTTATTACAAGTGGTAGGGTGAACAAACCAAAAATTTTTAGGCCTGGGACTTCCAGTCTATGGGCTGTCTATGCCTTTTCTTCTTTTTTTTTTTTGCAATTCTTATCTGAGTAAATTAAAAAACAACTTTCATGTACTCTTGTTTCGAAATAGATCCTCTCATACTGGAAGTTAGTTTTAGACCTAAATCACTTCCCAAAGGATACTTAGAGCTAAGATGTTAGAAAGGAATAAATTTTGCATCTTTGTACCTTGGGGTCTGATGAGTCTTCAGTGAGACATCATCTTCCTTTAGTTTTTTATATGCATCTTCGATTTCTTCAGGACTCCATGAAGGGTCTTCATCACACTCAAACTCCTCGTATGCGTCGTCCTGCATTTCCTGCTCATCTTCTGGTTCATCCTCCAGCCCTAACTCAGTCTCATTTGTTACTGGCCATGGATCAGTTTGAGTAGCTTAAACAAATTGAATTAAAAAAATTCTATCACCATTAAAATTTTAATTATTATTAAATAATTAAATATTGATAAAATATAAAAATAATATAAAGGTAGGCAGTTATGCCTATATGACTCATCAACATCAATTATTGTTGACTCACCAGCATTCACCATCAGCAACTACTTCGGCTCTTGTATGCTCTTAAAGGTTTCAACCCACTGATCTTGATTAGAGATTAACTTACTCTTCAGTCGTGTGACTTTGCCCTTTAACTGAGTCACCTCACTCTTCAGGGTTTTGAATGTTGTGCAATTCCCAGCACGTCCAGTCGGAGTATCCTACAAAAAACGAACTTTCAACATTAACACAGGCTGTAATAACAAGAGTTTAGAATTTTTGTGCTTTAGTATTGCTGTAAAATAACTGCACATGTAGTTTTCCATGTTATGATGATACAAAGATGCAAATAACCATTAATCAGAGTTATGCACCTACCATAGAAACCTGTTCAGGTTCAGGAATCGTTAATGATTCATCAATCTGCATAACTTCATCCATATCCTGCCCTTTTTCGATTCCCTCAGCCTCCAAGATCTGCATGGTGTCAGTAATCTCATCAGTGCCTGAAATCCCTTGGCTCTCGAGAGCTGTCTTATCACCAGGAGTACCTAGGACCTCTGAAGCAGGGGTGCAGCCCTCATTTTCAGCATTTACCTCAACCAAAGAACCCTGACTTGCATTCATGATCAGAACACCTTCGACTTCTGAAGACCCCTCAGGGTTGAGATTGGGAGCCCCCATAGTGTCAGCACGCTGCTCAAGTGCAGAATTTCCTTTCAAAGAGAACACCTCTTCTTCAGGATTGTCTTCTTCCTCTGTATCCTCATTAGTAGTTTGACCAGCCAGAATTTAATTTAGTATCTAAAAATGAAAATAGGTACGACCATTTTTTATATCTCCCCTTCAAAACAAGTTTAAATTTGAGCTTTATGTTGATGTTTTCAAAACTAGAAATGGAAGCAAAGTTTAACCACATTTTTGCCTTAAAATGTATGCATCATTTGCAGACAGTGAAAATAGAATTAAAATACAAACGAAAAAAAAACCGCAAACAGCAACTGAACTTATAGAATGTAGAAATCAGACTAAGTCCATTTTTGGTCGTTTTAAAAGACTCGCGTGTAACTCTTAAATTTACTGTAAGATTTCTTGGAGGGAAGTTTGGAGTACTGTTAAATCTCAAACTAACAGAAAGATAATCTCTCAAAAAATACAGACCGGATTTCTATTTAGCTTCACTTTTTCTAAATTTTACGCTTGAGTGGAAAGGTTTGGGAATTGGGGAATTGACTTCACGTCCACTCATCGCAGATACCCATTTTTGCGCAAATGCCCGTTTTACCAACTATGAGAAGAAAGCAGAAAAGTACGAAAACACATGCAGCAATATGGGATTATAACATATCAAAAGTAAATCGCGCGCTCTGATTGGTCAGTTAGCCACTACCATTTGCCCGTGGGTGAACGCCAAGGAACTGAGCTAGCGCAGTAAAATTTAGGCAAATTCAACAAATTTAGGCAAATTCAACAATCTTCTCTCCTGACGGTAAAATACACCGATAAAATGTACAGATGAAAAGTGGAAGTTGAAGAAAATACTACGCTGTCGTTTTGAAGGAAAAAAGACCTGGATGAATTAATCACTGTTTTCCTCGCGGCTAGAATCGGCTGTTCAAAGGAAAATCGAGCGAGCGAAGATTGAAGGTACATTTTGCATGTTTTTCTTATAGAAGAGAAAGTCTGTTTGAAATGTAAATTCATCAATTAGCATTGTGTTATTGACTTTTTGGTCAAGCTGATGCTAAATTCAAGCAAATATTTCAGGAAACACGCTCAAATTCGAGACAGCTTTGTTGTGAAGTTTTCATCGCATCGATTAAAAATTTTACTTGAGTTTAAACGGGCACATTACGCTAGAATAAGCGAATTTCATTTGAGTACAGAAACATTTGGGTTTTCAAATAAATTTTTCAAGCAATGACTTCTGTGTGTACTATTTTGGTCATCAGTGTTTATTCATAACAGTCGTTCAGAGAACGGTCGAAAAACAACAGCTTCAGCGCCGGCGATGTGTCGGCGAATTTCAGTTTATACTTTGACTTTCATAGCTGGATTTCCCCAGACAGATTTCGATACAAAGCTAGTTATTTAATTTCTTTTTAAAATTAGTGTTACCTGTTATTCTAAACGAATTACCTTCAAATTTTCTCATTTCTACTTTACGTATATTTTAAAAATTGTCACATAAATAAGCTTGATAATTATTTCATTTATTGCCAACGAGGCAACCGAGCTAAGAAGCGAGGTTGACTCGGCGGCAGATTATAACGCCGCGCAATGTGGGCTAAACCCCTCAAATTCTGCGTAACCCTCTAAAATTTGCATTTTTAACCATATTTGGGTGTAAGTAAGACCCCATATCTGGGCAGTGACGTCATGGTCTTGTATTTATAACTCGTGGTTTGAGATTGCGTGGTCCAGTGTGCAGCTGTTCGTTGTCCATCGGAGAAGGTCGATGTCCTAACAGGTGAGCAAGTTTTAATACGATTTCTAGTTTGAAAAGGCTATTGGCGGTTTGGTTTGCTTTATAAATTGCGTTTGAAGCAGCAGCTGATCAAGGAATAGGGTTTTACGCTCAAATTTTTGTCAGAGCCAGCTTGTTCTTCGCAGGCTTACATTCGAGCCAGCGTGTTTGCTTTATACATTCTCTATTCAGAACCAGGGTTTGCAGTGCTCTCTTTTCCTTTGTAAATTGAATTTTAAGCGGTAGCTGATCAAGGAATAGGATTATACGCTCAAATTTTTGTTAGAACCAGCGTGCTCTTCGTAGCTCGATTCGCATTGAGCCAGCGTGTTCGCACTTGTGTGTTTGCCTGTCAATTTCGAACGAGGTGTTCTTTCGTCGACTGAGACGTTCTGAAGACTTAGGAGAAAAGAAGCGAAGTGATTTATTTTTACATCTTTTAGCAGAAAAAAATCCTTAAACGCCAGCGTTGCGTATTAAATCAAGACAAACACGTGGCTTCCATTGCTTGATCACTGCGAGCGTTCAGTCGCATACCAACTTTGTCATGTTTCATATTTACTGCTTCATGCTGATTGTATCACTCATTATTTGTGGAAGCAGTTGCTCCATAATTAAACCTCCGCGTACTTGTTTAAGTGAAGATTTACAATTACACAAAATTAGATGTTGTGGCCCGTGCTTATACGGTCACCTATTACAAACGGAAATATTTGTCTACAAGAATTCCGTATGCTTCAAATGGTAGTTTTAATCCTTACATAATAACAAAGAAGGAAGCACATTTGGTCAATGGAAATCCAGCATTGTCAAAGGATTCAAACTCCCGTAAATCTTCCCAAACCAAACCACATTTACAAGAACGTTTTGGTAAAGAAATATCGCAGTCATTGCCTCGTTCATTCCTCCCCGTTGAGCAAATGCATTTCAGGAATTACTGCCTTGATTTTCCAGGAAAATTCTCATGTGCAATTGATTGTTTTATGGAGTTAAGCTGTTACATTTTTAAAGATGCTGTTGAGGCTGTGGAACGTAATGAATTTTTTGAAAGGTTATACACAGCATGTGTGCAAGTAAATGGTGGTGAAATCCTTTCCAACAGTTACATTCAGTTCGAGAACCCATTTGGGCCTGGATGAGACAGCACTGTGCCTCTTTTACAGGTATGTCAGATAATGCTGTATTCAGTGACATATTCCAAATCAATACATTTGGAGAATTAACGTTTGGCTTAAAATCATTATTTCTTATTCAACATACCAATCATTCCATTTGTTCAGAGTGTAACCAGGAAATCACCAAATCCACAGATGTTTTTGTCTTGTATATTATCTATCGCCATATAAATCAGAATGGTTTTGAAAGGTTTGTATCAGAAGCTGTGCTGCCAAACACCAATAGACTTTTTTGTACTTACTGCCAAAATCATTCTGGAAGTGTTGCTTCACTTCGACACTTCGTGTGCCTGCCAACCTTTTCAATGATAGAATTGTCACCTGATTGTATAACTCAATTGTTTTTTCCACATGATATGGAAACCTTAGGAGTTTCATACCGCCTCAAAGGAATTGTTAGGTGTTTAAATAGACATTTTACTGTTGCCTTAAAAAGTGAGAGGGGTTGGATCTATATTGATGATTTGTGTGTTTCTGTAAGGCGTTTCTTATCCTTTCAAGAAGTATTGTATAGTTATCCAGATGGCTGTTTTTTTGCCATATTTCAAAAGTCTGAGTATGTAGACATCAATTTACATGAATCTGCAAATCAGACCTGTAATAGCTTCACCATAAATTCAGTTGTTTGCAAATCAGTTTCAAAAGACTCTTGCAGTACGAAAGAAGTGAAGTTAGACCAAAAAGTCACAAGTTATAAAAAGGATAACAGAGTCAAATGTAATAACTATATGAAGTGTTACAGAAAACAGCCAGAAGTCAAGGCAAAAAATAATACATGCATGCAGAAGTATAGAGCTAAAACTTATTCTGAACTTGACATAAACGAAAGGGGCAAATTAGAAATACGTAAAAGAAATGAAAACCAAAGAAATGATTTAGTAATTAAATTTACAATAAAGCGGAAAAGTCAAAGCATTAATTCCTCAAGTCAGACATATTATGCAGATGAAAACATTAAACGATCTAAACGGGAAATGCGAAACAGGTCTTCACAAATATTTAGTGAAGTGAAGGAAAGAAAAAAGTTGTACAAGTTGTGGTGCTTATTTTATCTGTAACTGAAAGATGGGTTTATTTGTAAACTGAGTTGCTAACACGTTATTGTTACTTTAAAAAATTACAGTTCATGATGTCAGCAAGAAAGCAGTCTAGGGGTAAGTAGTAAAATTTTATTCAAGTTGATGTTCCCTATGAAAGAGCTTATATGTTTGATATGATGGGAAAGTGGGGGCCAAGATGGAAAACCTTTTTTAGCTCAAGACACTTGACAAATGTTCAAGAAAACTATGCTAAGATAGCATAGCATGTGTTATTGTGTTAACTATAATGATGATAATAGGGTTATTGTTGCTGTCACTGTAAGCGCATTGATGATCATGCATCCTGAATTTGTTTGCTTTTCTTTCGTTTAGTAAACAGGTATGGGTACATCCAAAAAATATCCCCGTCAAAACCGCTGCAAGGTCCAGACATGATTGGTTTGACTTTCACCTGCAAGTTTCACCGACTAAAGTGCAAAGAGTAGTTGGATTTGACAAAACAAAACATCCCAAGATCAAGCACTTCCAAGAAACCAAGTCTCCCGTCTTGTTAAAGAACCTTCTTATACCAGATGATGAAGACAACGACTGGCTTTTCGACCAGCAATCCTATGTTTCGCAGTGTGCAAATGCTGATGTACCATTCTCCTATGTACCAAATTTTGTCAAGTCAGAACGTTCCGAATCAACATCACAGGAAGCGTCTGATGTCTCAATCAGAAAGTCAACGTCCATGCAACTCTGTCAATGGGAGCCCAGGAGCCAAACAAGATAGAAACCAAATCCAGTCAAGCTTTATCTGTCAAAGAAGACTGCATATTGGAAGACGAAACCAGCACAATGGAACTCCACATATGGAAACCGTTATTTAAACAACTGAAAAGCAACAAGGCCTATTACTTTCAAAACCTCACACTACGGTATTATCAAGATCAAAATTCCTTAGCACCCACAGGAATACAACTTACAGTGAGGAAACCACAACTCTAAAAAAATTAGTGGGCCCAGAAATATTGACAAATCCAGAAAGAGAGATCATTGCAAGTCAACTAAAATATGTTGCCAGTTTAAGCATTTTTAGTGCATGCCAACTTTGCAAAAAAACGAATTGGGGATGAGTCGGGCGAGTCAGTGAGATGCCAAAACTGCAAAGGTGCGACAAAGGATCATCAACTGCAGGCGGGACGGCTCTGTCAAGCTGTGTATTCAACACAATGAATCAGAATTGTGGCTCACTGCATTTACAAATGAAATCGAAAACCTCCTGAAGAATACAACAGCAAGTATGAGCAGCACCGTAGATGAAATAGAAGATGTCCTTACGAGCCTAAAGGATGTCAAATTGAAATACAACTCCCAACGGAACATTGTCAAAGAAGTACTAAACTTGTAATTTCCACAGGAAGTACTGTGGTACTTAAAGAATTTCAAAAAAATGACATGTGAACTCTAGTGAAACAAAGTGGAAAAGAAACTGTTTTTTAAGTTCGTGAACAGACCAATAGAATCAAAGCGTTCATAATTTTGTTACCTACATTTTTTGCTATCTATAAGAACGTTATAAAACTTTGATATTTATTACTGAGACGTACTACGAATTTAAAAAAATTCGTTTGTACAAATTCAATTGTTGTATTTGTTGTTTCATACCATGAAAGAAAACAACCATATAGGCACTTAATACATTGATTTCAATAATTTCAAACAAAGCACTGCTGAAGTGTAGACAGTAGACACAGCTTGTTATTAACTTGTTCAAGTTTAATTTTCAAGGATTGATTACCTAACGTTTATCGTTTAAATAAAATGAAATTTGCAGTGAAGATTTGCTACCAAAGACGCTTTAAGCTTCTGTGACCAGGTTAACCTAGAATGTACCAAAGTTGTTGTTTCAAACCCCTCAGGGGGTTACTCAACCAATATTTAGGTATAGGTGAACCGCCGAGGTTTGAAACCCTGACCCTGTTTAGGACAAAAATATCCTTAAATACATACCCTCTTAGGTCAACAACGCCAATTATATACTCCGTTTAGGATAAACGAAAAAAGCGCCGTCGTGTTTAAAGCTATTTATGAATTTATTGGCAATTACTGTAGAGTAAAAACACAATAGGGGACGGAGAGGTAAAAAACCATACCCTGTCCAGCGGCACATTCCCGTATAGGCAATATTAGGGCGTACCACCCTACCCTTTTACAGTCCCTTTATAATCTCCTGTATTAATTCTTATTTTGGCTTTATTAATAATAGACAAATCAATTTAAAACCGCTAAAATTGTCCACCGATTCACGAAGGACCGTTAGGCACATCCCACAAAAGGTTATCGAATTCGCCTCGTTGGCACTTGCCGGATGGTACCCTTACAGCTGCCCCTAGTTTAGTTTTAGCTTGTTTTTTAGAGTCTTTTTTAGTTGGTTTTTATAGTTGCAGCTATAGTTTTCCCTCAAAGTTTTTACCCTAATATTAAGAGCAAGTAGACAGATGCCGTTCAGAATAACAACGAAAAACGTTTTGTAATTTACCTGAAGACGGAGAACGGTTGATTCAGCGAAAGCAAAACTCAAAGACAAATTTCTTAAAGTCCAAATAGTCAGAGCATTTATTACACGAATATTGAACAAAGATGCCAGAAAAAATCATGTCACAGGTAAATGAGGAAATAAATGATTATAATGGTGATAAACACAGGGCACATACATTATAATTCCACACACCGATCGTCGACACCGCTTTGATAGTGTTTCAGATGAGTTTTTCCAAATGGTTGGAAACGTCCCCTTCTTCACATTCCTTTTCATGCCTTTCATCGGAAAAGCAAGCGTAAAACAATCCCTTGTGAAATGCTCCGAGCACACAGCAAATTTTTCCACTGGGTTGAAATTCTTCCGGTGCATGTACACGAAATTTTTCCACTTTAATCTAACGCTTCCCGATGCAGGAGAATTGTGAATAGAAATTCCCAACTCATCGTTCTTTACGTTTCCACAGTTAACACAACGGCGACCAGGCATAGTTTCGCTTTAAGTCAAAAAAGCAAAGAAAGAACCTCCAAAAGCTTCCAAAAATATCTCGCCATGCATGCGAAATTAGCCCTGTTTGTGTGCCTTGTTAATTGCCGCGTTGATGTTTCTACGTCACATCTCGCCCCAACTCTTTCAAATACTACTCCTGGTCATTTTCTGAATCGAGTAATGGCGGCAAGACATTTACGAAAATTGCCGTGCAAATAAACACACTTCCAGATCATATTTGGACTCCAAACTTGGCACGGTAAGTCACTTTTACATATATTTTCGAAATATGTAATCAAAAACAAATTCCCAAATTTGATCGACCTGCCTCATATTGCTACATACAAGTCGACCTGAAGAGTTTCTTAACGAGTGGAGAGTTCTTTTTAGGCCGCGAAGCAACCGAGCGAGCTACGATTTCGTAAGTAATAAATTCTAGACATTCTAGCTTTTTGACTGTGACTGTAAATCAAGAAACCAGCACCGCCGAGCTTTTTTCTTCTTGTGCAATCCAACCTGACTTGCACATGATTCGAAGCTGCAGCCAATAAAAACCGCACAATTTTTTCGGGACGGGCTCGGGATACGTGAAAGTTAAAAAAACAATGCAATTTTTGACTCCCAAGAAAAATAAGAAAGGAATGCGCTCTCGAATTTAAGACGCTGGCCGGCTACATCATCCCGCGTAAAAATTGCCATTATCAAATCACAGGTAGCCCAAGCTCACTATGCGAGCCCTGAACAACATTATCCTACTTAGCTAATTAATTATTCTCAATATGAAATATTTATTTACATATTTCCTTTCCGTAAAAACACTCCCAATAGATAAGAGCACCTGACGGAAGATCCTGTCCCCAAACTTGCTACTTACTGCCACTTGTTGAAAAAGGGAAGAAAAATAGCTAACAACTGTTTACAGCCGTAGTAATTCTTATTGCAATATTTTTTTCTAAATCATACATAAAAAACCATTGTCAAACGCTTTTTAAAAAGAGAAGAGATCAACCAAATGCAACAACGCGACATGATTTGATATTACATGTCACTATCACACGCGATGCTTGACTTAAGCGATCCCGGAGTGCAATGTGAGAAGTGAAAAATCAGTTACTGTGCCCAGTAGGCTAAATGCTCCAATTGTCCTTTGACGGTTGAACAGTTTGACCCTGCCAGCCCGCGTCGGTTTGAAATTGTCGACTTGACGGTTGGAGTCCGTTGCGGGTCTGCTCTCGACTCGCCTAACCCCAGCCGTGTATTGCCCACTTCGTTGGCGATGTGAATGATGAAAAATGTGCGTTATTTATCAGGACATCTGTTTCTGGCGGAATTGCCTCCATGTCGCAAATGTCACGGAATTTATCGCCGCCCAGAGCGGAGCCGGTCAAGAGAGGTTTGCCAACCTTCTCTTCTCTTCTCTCTACTGTCATCTGGGTGAAAGACTGTCGCTCCAAAAAAGGCCTTAAACAGTGCCTAGGAGGTCTGAAATGCAGTCAGAATACAAAGAAAAACAAGAAGACGCTAAAGGTAAACTTCAAAGCGATATTCAATGTACATTTTGCTAATTTAGTGAGCAAAGAATATTTCTCCATACAACGTCTTATAGTTTTCTTGCTGTATGAATAATTAATTAGCTAAGTAGGATAATGTTGTTCAGGGCTCGCATAGTGAGTTTGGGCTACCTGTGATCAAATACGAAGTGATCCAAAGTCCTTTCCAGAGACAAAATAAATAACTCTTTATCCGGGTCAGGGGTCGCCTGCTGCGCATGATTCTCTGACATCGAATGATCTGGTTTTGCCAATCAAGTGCAAGCTGCCAGCTGTAACGTGCATTAGTGCACGCCTATCTCGCAAAGTAAAAGATTGTTTTGTTTGTTTTTTGTTCTTTGGTTTCTTTGGTCGTTTCTTTTTTCCTGTGAAAGGTCTAAAGGCTAAGTGTAATTTTCAGGCTAGGAAGAGTCCACAAAATGGAGCTTAATGCACCAGCCAGTTTGTCTTTCATTGAGCACAAATGTCATGTTGTTTTCCATCATTTTTCCGCGAATTCCTGTAATTCAATCCCATAATAACAAACTATTATGATCAGGAGGAGTATCATGTTTTACCTACTAGTGATGGTAAAACCCTTGAATTTTCCCCGGCAAAACTAAGCTTAGGTTCATAAACTGATCGATTCTCCAACCCAACAACAAAGGAGGGCAATCAATTATCGAAAGACTTTCTCGATTACTTGATGCGGGTCTTGAGAGTCGTGAGAATTAAAGGAAAACTATGTTGCTTTATGCTGATGTTTTTGCAGGAGCAAACCGTCTTATATTATGGTCGATCCAAACTCATTCATCCAGACGAACTGAAATGAGTCAGACGTCAAGCTTTTCATGAACTTTAACGTACCTCAGTGAGTTTAGTTTTTCTTTACTTTGTCTCATGAAAAGTTCGACCTTTGGCCTAGGCCTTTTTTAAAATTGGCTGATAATGCGTTGTTCATTCTTTGCTTGTTTTCCACCCGGGGGTGGGGATCCACTGGTGTGAACTTGTATAGTACCGGTATCCGGAGCTCCCCCCGATCCTGCCATCACGCCAGCCGACGCCAACGTCTTCTCGGAAGGGACAAAAACAAGACATATTTGGATGCGACATCTCGAATAGCGATAGTTTCACTCTAGACTTACTTTTTCTCATATTAATTGGAATCCCAGTAATAATGGCGAGCAGTGATGCCGAAGTAAAAAACATTGATGACATCACGGATATAGCAGAGATGTTCCTCGCAATGACGGCGCTTAACATTTCATGCCAAGGTTTAACAGATCTGGAGCAGATGAAAAAGAAAGCTAAAGATGAATTAGCCAAGTTAGCCAACTCGCCCTCTTTGTGTGCAGGAGAGGTGAGTAGCATGAGTACAGAACATATGTTTAGTGATCAGTACCAAATTCTGTTGAATTAGTGGCCATGGTGGCATTTTATTGAGTGTATCCTGTTGTTGTTTTGATGGACACATTAATAACAAAACGAGCTGGAAATCATACTACACAAAAGTAATGCTAACGAGGTATTGCCTTTATTCACCATTTGTTTACCTCACGTTTGCGTTGAAGGCAGCGAAGCTGCACAGGGTTATTCAAGTTAAATCTAGGACAATGCAAAATCTTTGAAACCTGAATCCCTTGCTTGTAACATCGAAAGATAAAGATGGCTAAATTAAATTGTCTTCATTTGTTTTGTTTCGGTTAATAAGCATTACAAATTGATCTTGCTGCAATCGCGCAGTAGAAGAATTGCAGACAAAGTAGCAAGGTAGAGCTCCATTGTTGATTAGATCTCTCATGTTTAAAATGACGTTTCAAAAGTACACCCACAGCATTTCCGTCGTTCCGACTTAAAAGGAAAAAAAACAAACCCACTGAAAACTAAAATGATCGAAACAGGTAAACCATCGGGGAAACGATCGTTTTTTGTTTATCTATGGTAAAAATTTACAATATTTCTTTCTTTGTTTTTTTTGTCGCTCTTCTACATACCTTTCTTGTTTATCGATATTTTCAGGGTCAATCAACTCAAAGTGCGTAACTTAAAACTCATGTCCGGTTTTCGGCGAAAAGCTGCTTGGAACACTGAGATTATTACGCGGGATGACGTAGTCAGCCAGCGTCGTAAATTTCCGGAGTGCACTCCTTTCGTATTCTTGGGAGTCAAAAATTGCTTTGTTTTTTTAACTTTTCCGTATCCCTTGCTCGTCCCGAAATTTTGTGTGATTTTTATTGGCTGCAACTTCGAATCACGTGCAAGTCAGGTTGGATTGCACAAGCAGAAAAAAGATACTTCGTCAGCAAAGAAGAGAAAAGTAAGCTTACTGCGTAGATGAGGACAAAGACTTAAGGAGTGTGCTCTAAAGGCACAAGACTTGGCCTCGGGCGACTGAAAATATTGTCCAGGACGCCCAGCCGGGCGACATGCTGGTGTTGGTTTCTTGATTTATAGTCAAAAAGCTAGAATGTCTAGAATTTATTACTTGCGAAATCGTGGCTCGCTCGGTCGCTTCGCGGCCTAAAAAGAACGTTGCGCTCGCTAAGAAACTCTTGAGGTCGATTGCATGTAGCATGTCTATGAAAAAGCTTTAAGAAAATGTTGTTAAATCGGGCAGAGGCCGCGCGTTGTTGTTCAAAGGTCGTTCCATGTGAATTCACATTTTAATCCTTGAAAATGAACGTGACAAGCTGCACAGTTTTCGATTTTAACAGCTTTTCAACTTAACATTAACTTTTTTCTTCAAATTAGGATGGTTCATCAGTTGGTTTTTCAAATGAAATTGTTACTTTTGCTCTGACAGGCGTACAGTACGGTCGGCGACACCAAACAATAGTTTTGTATTTTAAAAATTTTGCTGAATAAACACAGGAGCCGCTCTTTTATTTTTTTATGTTAATTAAATATTTTTACGTGTTTTTTACTGCTGTGTCTGCGAGGCTGAAACATAACTTAAAATTGTTATTCCAGTAAAATACGGTGTTTAAAAAAGAAGAGATACGACTATTATTGTGATCGTTTTAGAAACGGGTAATACTAAGTCCAAAAAGTCCCGCATTGTCTTTCGTGTCGTGACAAGTCATTACGTATCACGTAATAAAAATAAATACGCATCTAGCTGCCCCCAAATCCACAAAAAGCTCATTTGTCCTGAACATTTCACGGACAATATAGAAAGAAAATACTTCCGTTCCGCGCTTAAACGACGACTTTTCAGCAAGATGATCAATTCATAAGAGATAATAGTATTGGGGCGGCCGCGGTTTCGCTGAAATCATAGCAGTTTTCCCGGAAAGCTTCACGGGATCTCAGTCAATCTTAAGCGAATAGTGTCCAAATTTTTCAACCAAAAATTTTTCTAAAGTAAACATTAACAGACCAGAATCTTACTTTTCCATGTAAAAAATGTATTTACATTCGGCGGAGCTTAACGTAGTGGCAGAGAATGTAAATACTTTCCTATTGGTATGAACGCACGTGAGCTGCTATGGCGTTAATTGACTCTATTGTTATTAGTTATATAAGGTTTTGACAGTTGTAATGTATTCATCTCAGCTCTCGAACTATCAACTTTTATTTTTATATCTTACCTTATTCATCCATCGATTGATTTTTTCCCTTTAACCCCAGAGGTTGTGCGACCGCATCGGTTGGGGAATACGTTCCCAATTTTTTCCCATTGGGTTTTTGGGTTTTCGTATCAGGCGGCGCACGTGAATAGTTTAGCATGAGTGACTTTATGTATACCATTCTTTAGTTATGAATATAAATAGGAACATGAAATATTCGGCGGGGTACTTTCATATGACAACATGCGGGATTTGTTTTTTTTTTGGCTCGCTCAAGGGAGGTCAAAGGATGTGATTTTTCGCGAAAAGAAAAAAAATTCACAAAATTCTGTTTGACTTGTTTAGAAAATCATTGTTTAATTTTTAATAATTAACTAACAGCTCACTGATTTATTTATTTGGGCGACCACATTTGGAAGCTCAGGCACCCCAGCTAAAGTGTTTGGGAGACCAAAAGGCTCTATCTTGTAGGCCTGGGCACCCCAGCTAAAATGCTTGGGATCGATAACCTTAAGGGCTCCCTGAAATTTTCCCTAGAGCACAGCCTCGCAGCCCTAGGGTCCTTTCGATATTTTTGACCGCGCACTCCTGAGAACTAGATAGTCGCATGTAAACGAGGCTTAGAGAACAAAGATGGCTGACTCTGCTGCAGTTTTGACTGTAAACCGGTTCCTTGGTTACACAGGAAAAAATAACGGATTCCCATTTTTGGATATTTTAGGGTATTTAAAGAATACCCACAAAAATCCCAAATTTGGAAGAGTGAGACAATTCCCAATCAGGGAACTTGGTTGGAAATTCCCTGGTTGGGACTTGTCTCACTTTGCCAAATTTGGGATTTTTATAATGGGTATTCCTTAAATACCCTAACATATCCAAAAAGGGAATCCGTTATTTTTTCCTGTGTTAAAAGAATACTTAAAACAAAGGGGCATTCAAAGCTCAAGAAAACGTAAGGTTGAACTGGTAGAACTTTGTGAGAAAAGTGAGGAGATAAAAGTCCCAAAAATTGCTGAAGAGGAAGCACCACTCGATCCAAGAATTTCTATGAAAGAGCAACTGAAAACCGATGAGGGAGATCTCGCAAATCCGTTGGATAACGAAAACCGTGTTTTTTCCCAATGGACCAAAAACCTCACTAACGTACCGGACTTCAGATTCCCCGATCTTTTTAATTACCTGGTGGGAAAAGATCCCGTATACAACAGCGAAAGCCTAAAAAGTTACAAATCTCTATTGGGGTACAAATTATTTTCTGATGGACATGTGGAAGAACTTTGGTATCACCCACCTCAACCCAATAGTAATTACAGTTATTCTAAGTTTGCTGTAAAGCCAACTGAAAAATCCAAGACTGTTGATGGTTCAGCAACATACAGAGGGTTTTTCATTTTAAAGAAGGATGGAAGTGTCAATTCAGCCTACTGCTTATGCAAAGGAGGGTATGTATTTTCTTCTTTTGATTTCTGAAGCCTGTCTATGTGCTTGATATTCCATAAACATACGTTTGAGAATCAAAACGTTTGGTCTTTTCAGTTGTTTTTCTCTGTTGTTTTATTCAGATTCGAAGGTTTATATTTCCCTGGTAGCAGTTGTAACATGAGTAAAAAGTAGATGCCTACTGAATTGAAGATCTAAATCAATGGATGCATTATTTTAAGTCTCAAACCTTCTGGATCATTTATGACTTAGCACTAAGTATTAAAACAGTAGTTCAAAGTCAGAATAACTGAACTTATTGGCTACTTTACAGTCTATCAGCGTGAACATTGTGAGATACATATTTGTCATATTGGTCCTCCTTTAAACAGGGCAGATGGAGGTTGCCGGCACATAGCTGCAGCATTGCAAGCAAATGTGAGATTCAATGATCTCCAATCATGTACATCAGGACAGTGCATGTGGAAAAAGAGAGGAAAGAGAAATGAGGGAAGTTTGCCCATTCAGGACCTTCAAACGAGTGGTAGTTATGGTGTGACATTGAAAGACCCAATTCATCCAAGAGATTTTAATCCAATTTGTATTCCTTATAATGTGACTGAACTGGAACAAGATTTTAAAGCTGGGTTGCTGGAAACGTGTCCTAGCTCTTCAGCTCTGCCTTTTTAATCTTCAACCAAAGGACCCAGGCAAACAGAGGAAGAAGTCAGAGCTTTCATCAGCAGTAATGTTAATGTCTGAAAGGAGAAAGTGTTCAAAGTGTACATGTATATTCAATGAATGATTATGCCAAAGTGTTTGTTTCTGTTAATACTGAAAAAGTGATGCCTACACTTTCTAAAGAACTTGCAACTGAATACCTTGAGTCTATTCCATTTAATGAAGAGCAAGCAGAAATGATCAACAAGAAAACTGTCTATCAATCCCAGTCTCAATTTTGGTTTGATCAAAGGGCAGGAAAAATTACAGCTTCCTCATTTTACACTGTGTGCCACCTTAGAGAGAGCACAGACAGAAGAAACACTATTAAGCATCTAATGAATTATTGTCCAATTACTGAAGATGCCATGCCATGACAGTTGACATGGGGACATGAAAAAGAAAGGCGAGCACTTAGCCTTTACATAAAAAAAAAAAAAAAAAAGAAAAAAAAAAAAACAGAACAAAAAGCATTAGAAGTTTTCAATAGAAAAAAGTGGACTCATTGTTAACACATCATGACCCTTCTTGGGAGCCATTCCTGATGGTATAAGGATTTGTGCTTGCTGCCAAAAGGAGTTAATTGAAGTTAAAAGCATGTATGCAAAAAGAAATCCCCCTCCACATGTTGCAGCTGAGGAGAACCTCATGCGTGTGGATGGCAAGTATTAAATTAAAAAAGAAACCAAATGGAACTACCAAATCCAGGGACTGATGGGGATAACAGGGATTCATCGCTGTGATCTAGTTATTTATACCCTCAAAGGAATATTGATTGTAAATGTCAAGTTTGATAGTAATTTGTGGAATGAAATGCTCTAAAAGCTGAGAAACGTCTTCGTGGAGTATAATAGTTCAGGAACTATTCCACCATGACATACTTAACTTACAGAGTGACTGCCGTTAGTTGCTGATTGTAAAAGTGAAGGTGCTTAAATAGTGGTTTTTGACTGTGCTGAATTAGATACCACATAATTTTATTGATCTGACTCTGGATACGTTTAATACATGTTTCATTTACCATTTACATACACTAAGTTGCAATCACTTCCACGTCACTATAACTTGGTGTGCTTTTCTGCTCTCTGGACAAATGCGTCAGTCATTTGGCCAGTGGTGGTAACAAAGTGCACAGAGCAGCACAAACACTTAGAATACTGTCTGCGATGGGTAGCATTTGAAGAAGGAAGTTCCCTTGTAGAATTCTAAAGTCCTTAAGACGTCCAATAGCACGTTGAACGTGGATCCGAACACTTGCACGGGTAGATGGTACGGGTAGATTTTACTACCATTTTTGAAAGTTTCTTTCCTGTGTAAAAGAAGAAAAAGAATTCTGAATGAAGTAAATGCCAATTCAAAAGGTACTGATAGTAAAGTACTTACTTTTTGGAAACCCTTTTTCCAAACAAAACGTCTACTAAATTATTGGATGGGTGGAAGTGGCAAACTACTGCCCCACACCAGCATTTTCTGAATTTTCTGGATCCACCCCTGCTATGTAAACATGTTTGGAAGTTAGTAGAGACTACCTCTATCTTTTGAGCAGTTCAACGTAACCCTATAATATAAAAAATATTCCGAAGAAACTTCTTGTGTTTAGTTAGAAAGTTCCTTTTTATGAGCAGCAAGTTATGGATGCTGTTATATTTGTTGTTTTACTTTGTCCAGGGAGACTTTCTCTCTGATCTTAGCATACCCTCTTCCTCCCCTACCCCGTTAGCTCCCGTTATTGGAAAGGTACCTTTGCAAAGTGGTGGGATATTAAGTTCAACTTTCTTTCTTGTAAGCAGATCTCTGATGTTGAACCCCCTGTCGGCCATCACAGAATCCCCCTCTTCAAGTTTGTCCAGTAGACCACTTCTTTCTTTGATGTATCTGTCACTGGCATTTCAAGACCATAGTTTAGAAACGAAGGAGAATTAACCTGTTGGAGTGATTCCCACCAGTGCTTTCATGGTATTGTGTTGTTTATAGTTACTCCATGTAGCTCTCTGAGCAATTTTACTGGTTAAAACCTCTAGATCTTCATAAGGAAAGTCCGTTTGAGTTCCTTTGTCGTTAAGAAGAAGGTGGCAATAATTGTGATCTAAAAGGGCTGCATCGTCGCTTAAGAAGCAAATGTCTTTGTCTTCCTCGGTAAGGCTTCTCTTTTTAGGTTTAAGACATTTTTCATCAACAGCACATCTCTTTCCGTCCTCCAGTCTCTTCTCACGGGAAGAAACACGACATTGGTGGGTCGAGGGATTCAAATATTTCGCTAATTCACCCGGAATAACTTATTTTCTTCTGCAAGGCGACTTTTTGATGGATGAAGCCTCGAAGTGTGCGCTGCAAATCCGAGGGTTTTTTTGATTTTGGAATTCGGGATCACTACGTCTACAGAAGTTTTTCCATAGCCTTCTAAAATGCCCTTCCGAAGGAAAACAGAAAAAAGAAAGATCGGGGCGATTCCTTGAACTGTTCAAGCAGTTTGCCACCGAACAAAAATTCACCATGACTTTTGCAAAACTTAGAGCATTTTAACTTACAGTGAAGACAGTGAATGCATTTGTATTTTTCTATTTTCCCAGCGGTCCTCTAAGCCTCGTTTACATGCAAATACCTAGTTTTCAGGAGCGCACGTCCAAGAATTTCGAAAGGACCCTATTGGAAGTATGATACATTACATGCTATTGTTGAATGTTGAGTTGCATTTTTTGAGGACATTAGTAATAAAGGGGATGCAAATTTTAGAGAACTACACCATACTCTTAAAGTGCTACTACGATCAAATCCTTGACTACCATTTTTTCCCGCTAGATTGGCAGTTTAGTACTTGAAGTACATGGTGTGCAAATTATAGCGTCATATCATTAAGGAAAGTGGTGATTTTTTGAGCTCAGAAACCATTAATTTTTGTCCGCCATTACAACGCTATGTTCCTGTGACCTGGTTACCAAGAACACGAGACAATTGCTTGTGATGTCATTTACTTAACGCAGTACATAACAGCATGACAAATTTCTTGACACGAACCTGCTTCAAGGTTCCCTTCCTCCCACTTCGATGTGTCCTTGTTTAGGAAAACTCTTTCGATCTTACTTGCATTAGGCTCCGTATGTGTGCAGGAACGCTTTAATCGATAGAATTGAGCTGCAAGTGAGTCTGACCAACTGAATGAGATATTCGAGGAATAGGTTTGTTTCCAGCTTACAGTTTGGCTGTTTTCTGACCCTTTTCTCGGTTTAATAACTTCAAAGATTGCTGCAATAGCATTTAACGGGGCTTTCAACGCAAACCAGTAGCGGAGAATTAAACTTTGATCTTTTGCTAGCATATGGAAGAAAGATCAATCAACAGATCTTGAATTTGAAAGAAATCTTCGCACGAAGAGGGAGCGCATGGAGGTAAGCTTACAGTTCGCAAAACTTGCAGTGAATGTCTCCAATGCTCATTGTTAAGTTTATTTATATCGCCCGTGGTGATTTTTGTTTTTACTACTGGCGAAGTCATGGAAAATAAATTTTTCATTAGACCTTTTTTCGACTGTAACGCGATTACTACGAAACTTTTAGAAAACCCTCAGAAAGGTTTTGCCCTAAGGAAACAGATCAGAGAGAGCCCTTTAGTTTTGTAAACACTATTATTGCTCACACCTTTCTCTTGTAGTGTACTATTTGTTCTGTTACCACTATTGCCATTCCTGTGAGCTTTCATAAAAAGTTTTAAAGTTCTGTTTGTAAATTTTCATTATAAAATATTAAAATCTATCAGGATCATTGTGCAATCCAAGAGAGAATGATCTAAGAGAGCGAATCCCCCATACATGACCCTCTTTCCATCGATGCCAGGTGATTTGTTTCGAATGCAAAACGATTCGTTGATCGTTTAATACCAGCTTTAGAAGATGTAGAAGTCATTGAAAACCGATAAAAAATAGAGGATGAGAAGCTAGAGCCTTTAGAGTCGAGGATTTGACTCAATTTTGTTTGTTGCCAGAAGATACTCGGTTATAAGACGCACTCTGAAATTACAACAGATTTAGTGCTATCAAGCAGATTTTCGTTGAAAAAATGCTGCGCCTTATAAGCGAAAACATACGGTAATAATAAATATTTATTATTAGAGTAGATCATAATTTGAGATGTAAACTCCAGCACAGGGGCATTTATGCTCTGAATCACTGAAGTGATGTGACTGACAGATTGCAAGTTAGAAATGAATTATCACCAAGGCTCAGTCACTGAAATATTTACTGCAAGTAAGGGTTATGTACATGTATGAGATAGTTTCATGGCCCCTGCTCATCACTACGGCTTTTTGTTTCACTACCGAAGGTTGGGCTCTACCAG